ATATATATATATATATAAAGAAATCTTGAAACCTGGAGGACGTGTGTTTATTTGATTAGAACTAAAACATGTAACAAGTTCACGTGTGTCAGCCGTGGTGTTTAGAATGTATATGAGAATGACAAATAAGGAAATAACTTACATTGTAGTTTAAGTCCGGATTTCGTTCCTGATAAGTAAGTGCAGTTCGATAGACCGTTTCAGCTTCGTCTGCTCTAAAACGTGGAAAAGATTGCGGTAATAGGACGCCAATTCGGAAAACAAAATCGAGTAACGTCCCGAACAGGCCCGTGTACCATGAATGCTTGATAGTAAAGTAATTATAGGAATGTCATGGAACCGTGTTTGCAGAGGGATTCATGCCGACTTGTGAATGGATTGGAATATAGAACTGTAGTGTCGAAAACGGATTCAAAACTCAATACTCTATAATAGAAACAGTGTTTCAATCCGGCGCCATATCATCTGGGGGATCGATTAAGAGACAAACGGAAAGAAGACACTAGTGATAATGTAGTATATTACAACCACCAGATTATGCGGGCCTCCAAGATGGGTTCAGAGTTCGGACTTCTGTGAACGCATCGTGAGCTGGAGTACGAATTATGCGGCGACTTCAGGCTATCATATTTTGTGGGCTACTCAAAGACGCGGGAGCCAAATCGCGTTTTTTTACACCCTTGTGCAGTTAGCATTTCAACATCCAGATAGCCTCAGTGCACGCAGCACCTTTGTCCGTGGACGCAAGTCCCGTTTAAGCATACATGCTCTGTGCCCTCTAATCACATGCGTAAAATTCACCGAAAAATTACTCCCGTATGAAACTTGTACATTTGCACCAGACCTTGGTTATGTAAAGGTTACTGAATATACCATCGGTCTAGTCTTGTCAGATAAGTCATAGATTGTGCCCATATGATGCTCTGGGAAGAGCGAGTGTTTCTCTTTCATTATGATATCCTTACGTTTGCGCCAGCTCAAAACTTCGCTCGTAAGAGAACAGGTTTTAGGGCGAAAATGAACCGCCTCACGAGGCATGAATCAGGGTAAAATGGAGCGAAAATATTTTCGGGTGTTTTATTAGGAAGAAAGTTACCGTGCTACCATGTGTCTTTCATCACGATCCAACAGCAACACTAGTTTCAACGGTAGCAAGGAGTCCTCCATCGCTTACATTTACGACTGTCAAGTGCGATGACGACTAAGAACTGAAATGGGAGGGGACGCAAACGTGCACAAGTAAAGTACTTTAACGCGGCCAAACCGGATGAAACCGAATGAGACTTAATATCGGCAGTGTGCAAACATACGCAAACGTGGGTAATGGACTAGTATGGACTGGTCATGGACTTTGTAACCTCACAGTTCCGGTCGGACCCACGCCTGCTGGGCTGTAAAATGGTGGATTACAATTTTGCCTACTTGTGAGTAGTCTGTATCTATTCAATATTTCTGTGATAGCTCTTTGTCAGGGGTAAATTTTCACGAGTCGGCTGGGCGCTTAGTGAAAGGAAAGTTCCTGAGAACGGTCCACAACTGGGTCGCAGTTTACCACACCTTAATCACTCCTAGGATCATTAAATGGATGTTCACTCAATCTCTTTGGATTCTTCGGCACTACGTCCCACTTTGGGGGACACCTGCTGTGGGTGAACCACTATTGATTGCGTTCACTTTTCATTGTAAATTGAAGGGTGTCAAATATTCGATTCAATTCAATGTATCGGCTACAAACTGTGTGCCGCACACAAACTGGTTCCAGCTGCAACAGTTTCGACCACCAGAAAACGGGATAGTGTGAGATTACAGTCTAGCCTTGGAGGCAATGGCACATCTGATTAGTTCGCGAACTGCGTAGCTACACACAGAAGGAGGTAGCTTTGATGCACGAACGCCACTGACTGCGCGATTGGACCATTTCTACCAATTCCATTAACCGCCAACGAGGTGAGTCCCGGAGTCTCCACCAGGAGAGGCGGTAGTTTGCCGACCCATACTTCGCTGCCAGTTATACTGTCCATTTCTCGGTCGCTTCCAGGGCTGGGCAAAAAGAGCGCTGTGAGGTAGACAGTCTTCTGGGATGAAGAGTACACGTCCCAACAAGCGCAGCCTATGAAGCGTAAGTAATTCGTTTGTCGCAAGAGAGTTCCTTCTTTCTAAGACCATCTAGCGTACCTCAGCATTGCTAATCCGATGTTCCCACCAGACCTGACCAAGGAATCGGAGACACCGAAGCCGTCTTTGTTGCATCGGTAGAGAGACAGGTAGACAAATACACACAGACTTTTACATCTTCTGAATGGCATATGATATAGTATACCTTCACAATATAAGTGGGGAGAAAAAGCATGCGTTTTGTCGTTTGTGGGTTGTCAGTCAGTTAAATCTAAAACCGAAGATATTGCCGTCGAGGAAAGAAAACAATATGGTCAGAATACATATTTCAGTAGTGTGCGAAGATCGCTTTCATATTCATAAATCGACCCAACTAGCGTTCTGTACATTATCAAATATCCCCGATAATGTCACGCGTAACACAAATAAAACAATGTCCTGTAATCAACTTTCACACTGCACCACTAGCAGCATGGGAAGCATCCGGGAGCTGCATCGAAGATTACATTATCTACTCAGTGTCATAAACGGACACAATCAAGGTTAAGTCGCTAGGAAGTAATGTATTAATTGCTCGAGTGATTTAACCAAAGTGCAGAGAGCAAGAGGATTAACTGAGGAGGACGAACGGAAATAGCAAATCACAACCGAGACAAAAACGGGGTAACTTCCCTATGTTTTTTTCACCCAACTGATGACGCAGATCACAGTTCACAATCACACCATGATTTAAAACCAACCACTATCAGAAAACACTGATGGCGAATAAGAATGTTTGCGATCCAAGTTTGTTCTCTCTCTGTATCTTTTGAATCAGTCCAGATTTATCATTCTCGATGAAGGGTGGCGTTGAGACGGCAATTCACTCATGACCACACAATTATTGGCCAAAGGTTCAATAGTACAGGTGAGGAAAAGTGGGATTGGAACGCGCGAAATTTGGCAAAATTCACAAACTGGTAAATTTAGAGGACTGTAATTTTGACGGGAATTCACTTATACTTGTAGTCTCAGCTGCGCTGTGAAGCATGGGCTCTTGCGTGCTCCCAACAATAGCCTATTCTCAAAAGACTGTTTCCATTTGTGCACATTCTATATTTTGCAGAAAGTTGGTTAAGTTTCGAAGAACGAGCCGACAATGCTTGTGCCTTGTTGGACGGTAAATGATAGCGTATTTGTCCAGTGAAAATCAGCTGAACTACAGACGCAGATAAATACATTAGCCTTCAGCGTTTGGCTGGTTTGAACTGGATGACAAAAGAGCCTGACTCAGTGAGTAATCGAGATGTGACGAGCGGCAAAATCTACGCGTAAGGCTGTTTTAATTACCTCATTAATGCTCGGCACCCAGCCAAAGGATATAAAAGTGTAGAATAGAGGTACCTGTCGTGAAAGAATTAGCACATCCAGGGCTAGAGCATCACCTCTGTCCCAAATTCGAAACAACCAGACGAACTCTGTAGCAGAAAAGAGATGACCATTCTATGAAGGGACGAGTAGTCTAACCGATGTAGGCAACCACACAGCTGTATTAGACTTCATTGATATCATCATTCCATTTAGCGTATCAAAAGGTGGACTAAAGTGCTGGTTATCCAGACACAAAGGGTAAGTGTTCGGAAACAGAGACCTTTTCACGCTTGTGTTGCTGGTCTCTGCAAAACGGTGTTTTGGCATACAACCGAGGATGACACTATGGTCTCATCTAAAAGACAGGAAGAAATGGTGGACTGACGTGAAGCACAATTTTCCATCGGACACAATTACGTTTTCCGCATGTATTACGAGTTGAAGAACCGCTGCAAGCGAACTGTCCTGATTCGCTTAACCAGCAGTCAAAATAAAAAGCTATCAGAATGCCTTCAGAGGGATTTCAATGCACAAGTTGAAGAACAGACATCATAACCACACTCGATAATAATAATAATAATAGTAGCATCGCCTTCGGTGATGGGATTGCATGCATACGATTGGTAAACCAGGGACCAAGCATTGAAAGAAATAGCGAGTGAAAATTAGGCTAATGTGTCGATGAACCTGATGAACCAAGTTGTAAATATACATGTAATATAATCTTAATACTAAGGAAATAGTCTGACTAAACTGAAAGGCAACCTTAAGACTGCATTGCAGCTGAACATCATCAGCGGGAGATCGATCTGAATGTCGCTTACGAGTGTTCGCCAAGAATTGCGCCATATGGTTACACGTAACTGCTGGTATTCGGAAAAAAATCAACTCACTTTCCTTGTTTTATCAGCACGCTACCATAGTTTTGATATGCATCCACAAAGTCCGACCGTAGCGAAATGGCTCGGCGAAGTAGCCGAGCCGCATCCTCAAGCAGGGGAGGTGTCTTGTTCAGGTACAAATTTGCCAAGTTGATAAAAACCATGAGGTCCTTGGGTGCAACACGAGCATAGTAAGTTTGACCTAAACGATAAGAGTAGTGATGCCAAAATTCGGTATTGCATACCTATGTACAGGTTTTCGGTAAAAAAAAACAAGTTGGAACTCTTGGTAGACGATAAGACCATCGAACTCAAAATTCCATTTGAAAACATTTCGTCACTAGACAGATGGCGTGAATATTTCACAATTTTCCGGTTGGTTTCATAAGGTTTCAGCTGAAAACATCTAATGTATAAAAATGGAATCAGCTCTCATGCAGAGTTCTCTCTAACTTGAATTTGGTCTTCGTTTCAGAAACGTTTGGAGGAAGATCGGTGGATTTATTGCTGGGCAACGTTTCGCTTTTGACAGACCCAGTAATTAGGATACGATACTGGTCGAGTTGTACGGCACACGAAGAAACAACTAGCAGAATACTCTACTGACAGCAACTTCAATTGGTGTTGCGTGCCGACTTAGAGTGTTTTTCAATTAGTGAGGACGAGCGCGCGTTTCATCGAAGGGATAAGGGGAATGGCTCTCGCGGATTTGATGCCAGTTTCGGGGTCTGAGCCTTCCAGTTCGTAGTAATCCTGTTGGAGATTTCTCCTGAATGTCGTGCATCTTCTTCGGCGGTCTCTGTGGCTGGAGTAGCATCATGACAAGTGAGGTTAGCGACATTCTGCCTTAGATCTAAATCACTATTGTAGTGGTCATATCATCCCCACTGAAAGCAACATAGTAAAGCAACAGCAATACTGCTACCGCTTAACTACCATACAACCATGAGAGAAGAAAGCTTTAGCAAGGAGTAGAAACAGCAAGAAAGGGTGGGGACTTTGAGTACAGAAACCTTATGTCCTGAAAAGCATTAATATAAGCACACCTGAACGCCTGGTCAAACTGAGGCGCCATCAGCAGGACTGACCCAACGAACCTCTACCCACAAAGGCTCACAAACTTTGACTGAGGTTTCCATATATTGGGATATTTGTAGCAAACCACTGACCTGATCCAGTTGGGTTGATTTTCCTTTTGGCTAAAAATTCGACCGACCTCGTTACTTATTCACTTGGCATGACAAATTGCGGGTTAAAATCAAAACTGCGCCGACCAATAAGTCTAGGGACTGTTTTTCAAACACTTACACGATGACTCCTACACCAGTTCTAAACGTCTCCCGCCTGATTGAATTCTGTCTCCTTGACCGAGAACACATCCTAAATTCTCATTAATGCATGCAGGTTTGTTCGCCTCGTTCTTTGGCTACTCATGGACCTCTCCGACTTCTTTTTAATTCATTCGCGCAGACTTGGTTCGCTAAAGTTAATTGGGTAGGAACAGTAATGAATGACTTCAACTGCTACTGCAATAGGGACGTTCAGTTTCGTCCGGTCTTTACAGCCTTCACGTTTGAGTTTTTATACACATAACTGTCACCCGTAAGCTGGATCGATGGGTTTGTACGAATGTGTGTACGACTCCTTTACTGTGCTTATCGCTGAATTCCGTTCGTCCGTATGAAGTGCAATTTGCTGCGCTAACGCCGCCTGTAAGGGTTGATGAGGTTAACCGAAATGTAACAAGTTCGAACCCACAATTGAGCGATCGGCATTGATATCCGAAGAGTGGAAAAACGGATAATCGGTCCCCTAAGTAGTTGTTTAGGTCCAGGCGTTCTCGAAGGCGAGACTGTTTTCTAAATGAAATCCACCGTTTGTCAGTACTGAGTAGTGGGAACTCGCATAGCGTTGGCTGCCGAGTTGTCCTGCTAAGCTGAAGAGCAAGGCTGCTCCAGTCTTTATTTTGGAAACTGACTGAACGAGTAAATCCATAGACAGCGCTAAGTGCACAACCTAGTTTTGGTTCGAGCGTTCCTCCGCGTGAGACGTCCTCTCAAGAGAGAAAAGTTGAAAATAAAGGGAATCGCGCTGTGATGTGAAGAATTCTGTTTCGAGTGCCCCCTGTAAAGTAAATCATTGTAATTGACGTGATTCCCAGTTAGAGACCGAGATTTTGCAATACATTGTCGATCAGTTTCCGATTTGTGCCGCGTTGTGGTCCATCATCACTACATACATATTAGTTGCCGTGTGGTGTCTGGAGCAGTCATCGATATGAAACTTGTTTTTTCGGATTTGTTGGACATACTTCGAGATGTGTCGGTCTTACGATCCCATCCATGGGAATATACATGGATCTTAGGTAAATGGTTTATTTCACACCAACGTTTAGGATACGTTTGAATGGCGTTCACTTTGCAGTAGAAGGTAGCGCCGGGACTGCATCAACACAAAACTACCTAGACAACTCAAAGAGAACTACTTTGAAATACGAAAGTATAGCGTTTATCCGGGGCTAACAATCACACACAATCAATCGTTCAGCCGTAGCACCCTTCCGGTGCCTAACTGCCATGCCATCCAAAGGTTGCACGAGGGCTGGGACACTGCCAGGCTGCCTAAGCCTAGACAGGGGAAGTCGAGAGGCAGAGGTCGGGTTCGGACCACAGACCTCGCGGTCAGTAAACTCGCGTTCTAACCACTTGAGTCATTTCGCCCCATACAATCAATCAGTTCGCCTCAAACATTCGCACATTTTGTTACCGATTCCACACCCAATTTGAGGGTTCAAGAGTTCATATTTTTATTATATGAAGTTGGAAACCATCTCAGGGGAGCTTGATGGAAGAACTGATTTAGGAAGAAAAGATATCGTCAACGGATGTATCTATCGTGAGGTAAGGATATGCTGAAGTAACATCTTGTGTATGTCAAGCATACCTTCCTATATGCATGTATTTCTTAAACTGACGCACCTTTCTTGGGCTTCGGAAAGTAATCAAGCGCTCCGAAGTAAGCTATCTCAGCTTCCTTTGGCATTTGCAGGTTGACATAAGTTCGTCCAACATTGATACGAGCACCAATATCATTAGGCTGTACCCTGAAAACAAGTATAACCAAGAAACACGCTGAATGATTGGGGAAAGAAATTCAACTTACAAGACATTGGATATGCTAGCCCCGGAAACCACAAAACACACATGGCTAGTTGTTCAACCACGAGGGCTATTCACCAAACAAAACAAAGACTCTGTCAATATACTTCTCAAGAGAACTGGAGGCTAGCTCACTTGTGTACAGGCTTTTCGTGTAGCAGAACAGTATGTCAACAAGCGCAAAATCTGAAATCGCTCGGGTGACAAGCCCACTGCTCAAGCATCCACTACTTCATCTTCACAGTACACTCCAAGTCAATCTTGGCGTGCGCTCAGGTTCGAGTACACAGGAGCACCCGATCCACTATAGAAAACAGGAAAAGTGAGACACCTGGGTCGAAATCTAATTGCAGTGATCATCAGGTCGATTCAGAGAATGACGGACGGCTATTTCAACCCTCTTTTTCTCAATGGTTGGGAAAGTAGTAGGCGCTGCACTTTTGCCAGCACATGTAGTTCGTAATATAAAAATGAAATATTGGTGCTGAAGAGTCCCTAGACACTTTTAAGATGTAATTTCGAAGCAAAAGTGTCAATAACACGGTGTATAGAGGAAGGAGGTAGGCTTCCAGAACTGGAAGGCCAAGCACACAAAAAGCACCGAAAACACGCAAGGGAAAACAACCGGACGCCACACATGTAGTCTATCAGACCACTGTGCTGTTATCAAGGCTACCAACACGTGGACGGCATATTGCATATTGCGTGCAGAGAATCCCAGTCACGGGACTATTGATGTAAATCAAATGGCATTCCTGTTAAAACTTGGCCATCACTATCGAGAATAAACACAGTGAGTTCAGTTCTAACTAGTTCCTTCTCGGAGGAAGACAGTATCGTTGCTTCCGTAGATATGAAGATAGTGGTCACCTGGAGGAAACATCATATTGTCTTCACAATCCTATCCCAGGGAACAATACAGTTTTAAGCTCAGACGCCTGGTATTACGCTTATCTGTTGTACTGTGGTATCGCAGCTCTTCGTCTGTCCACCGACTTTTTGCCTTCCTGGCAAGGTCACTGAAGTCTAACTTCTACAGGGTGCCCACTTTTGGCATGGAACATCCCAAGAAAAATCGGTTGTCAAGATTTTCCTGTAACTTCATCATCTGTCATACCAAACAGATAGCACCTAAATTCAAACTTCGCACTGCGTCAGAAACATCTATTGGGTTCACAATCAAGTAGTTGATTAGTTGGGAAGCGGAACACTACACACTATCGAAACAAACAACGGATGTTGATCCGTAGTGCAACAGATCGTCTACCTCTGTAGCAAATCAAAATGCATGTGACTGGTAAAAAACGTTCAGCTGTAACACCCTTTCAGCGTCTAGCTGCCATGCCACCCCAAACAAGCACCAGCTGTGATACTGCCACGTTGCTTAGACAGACACAGTCGAGATGCTAAGGTTGGGTTCGAACCACGGGCCTCCAGGTGTACGGAGACCAGCCGTCCCTAGTAACCAATTACAATATACATGTATCGCGATGTCTCGAATATCGTGGCGGCCGAAACATGAGGGGGCCTGGTGCAGAAAATTCAGTTGCCCGAAAACATCACAAACGAGAGATTCAGCTGGGTTCCAGGTGAGTCTCTCGAAAAACCAAATTAGTTTGCAAATGAGCGTATATTCGCTAATTTCGTGCAATTCGATTTCAAGAAGAACATAAGGTTGACGGGAACCCGGGGACTGCGCCTACCTGATGAGCCCCAAAAAGGGCGAAACCGGTCGTGGGCTGTCGACGGATTTACAGCAACTTTATGAGTAGTACACTACAAAGACAAACACCACATCATTTGGACGGATGTGTCACGTGCAGGACACGGGCCAAACGAAGGCGTGCCCTGATTGGTCAGAATGCCAGCCAATCCGAGTCAAGCACTTGTGACTCGACGCTTCTCGCCTCCTCACGGAGATTCTGGCACGACCTTGTGGAACAATCTGTGACTACCCTATAGATACAGTTGTAATAATTTTCCTTTGTCTCCATAAAGGGCTGTCTAGAGCTACCGTGTCTTTTGATATACCGTAATGGGCGGAGCAGGAAGCCAAGGGGCCGATACAGAGTTGCACGATCGTTCACCAAGTTAAAACAATCAGGCAGTTAAAAATCCATTGAGGTGACTAGGTCCCAAGAATGTTTGCCTATTCAAGTTTTCACTCACTGAAGGGCTGACAAGAATAAGGAAGCATTTTGTGGTCAGGTTAATAGGTTCGCTTGTTAACGATTGAGCTAGCTCGAACACAAGTGTCATTAAGACCAAATGGTATCTTCCCGGAGGGGACAAACGTACCAGCCTGCAGCAATCACACAATAACCAAACACTAAAAAAATCCTGATAATGATATGATCCATCACTTACTCAACTGCTTTTTGAAAATATCCCAAGGCCTGGCGAAATTCACCTTTGGCTTCCAGCGAATGTCCCACATTGTTCCACATTTTCGCATTTCGTGGATTGACCTTAAGGGCTGATGAAAACAGCTGGTACTCGTCTGTCCTAAACAGAAATTAGAAAGATTCGTTAAACAGCACTCATGGGAACAGCGTACGGATAAACAATTACCACAGAGTCAGAGAGAGAAATAACTAACTAAATCGAATAAGAGGACAATGACCTCTAACAAAGAGTAAATATTAAGGCCTTTGTTATCAGACTTGCGACACCATCAATTTAGACATGGGTTGTTAACTTTGGAATAACTGACCCGCATTTATTTTGGATCCAATTATCGATCTCGACGAACTGAATGCTTATTCGGTTGGCTGAGGGCATTAGGGTGAAACCATCAAACTTACCAATCGAAATTTCGTCGAATGGTCTTCACAGAAAACCCAATGATAACCATGGTGACCAGAACGCGCATACGAAATTTATGCCACCGATTTGTCCTGGAAAAGCATTTTTAAAAAAGTCAAGAAATATTTCTGCGTTCCCGTGTGGTATTTGAATTATATCGGAAATAAAAAGTAATTTTGAAAAGATGTCACACTGCTACTCAACGGGAACAACTGTGTCTTGCACTGTCAGCTTCATTCAAAAATCTGCTGTCATTGGATGTATGGGGATACCCCGTGGGGTGAGTTTTGAAAACACAGCAATTTGGCGAAGAGATCGCTGTGTTATATATAGCTCCTGTCACAGGTCACATATTCAGTAGGGATATTTTCATCATCGTCACCATCATCGTTATCATTATCGGAGACAACATCGGTGCTGACACCGGTGCTTGACCGCCGTACAATCAGAAAGTTCATCTAATTATAGTTAAAACCTTAAAGTGAAAAGAAAAAAGAGCTAGTGTTGGCCTATGTCAAGCACTCTGAGGTGCCGACACCTGCAAGTTATCAGTCCATGGGGAAACTGACAGCACGAACGCCACTGACAATGATGAGCCGCCATTATTTGCAATGTCTACGGGAAAGCGCGGGCGGGGTCACGGAGACTCCATCCTGGAAGGCGTACTGCACCAACAACACCCACACTCTTCGCAATCTGTTTCACACCCTTCTGCCAAGTCATACGTTGTCCACGTTACGGTTTATGTCAACCAGAATGAGGTACGGAGAAAAACACTCGTTTCGATAGACGATGTTTCGGCATGTGTCACACATTACCGAGCCACAGTGGTTGATGGTACTGGATGTTTTCCTCGGTTAAAGTACCTGCTGCACAACCAAGTACCCGTTTTCTAACCATGTCACTACTAATCTGTTGACGCCTTTGACACCTGTGAAGCCTCTGGGGCATCGGTGTTCAAAAGTCTGAAGCCGCTTCACATCATCTGTTAGCAGAGACGACGTCTCTCAACCCTACAACAACACAGCCCGATTCATCAGACCCTTGAGACACGGTGATATTCCTTTTTTATCCTACAAGTAATACAGATTAGCAAACGTGAATCTGGCCTTTGAGATCGGTGCACTAACTTCAACAAAAACACACTTCCGTCAGAGCTAGTACAACACCAAGGTACGCGAAATTCTCTATAATCCCAGGGATTCTTCTTGAATTGTAAGAGGTATGTTCATAAACTGTACGTTCTGAAGCACGACTTTGCAATCTGAAGGTGCAACGCGCATGCCGAAAGATGACTGGTTAGTCTATTAAACAGGGTTTGTACTTCGCCTTGGTCTTCAGAGATGGGAGCAATACCGCGCGCATCAATCGACAAGATTCTTCACAACAACGAAGTGAGCACTGGGATTTTGAAGGTCTTCCAGCGTTCGGCTCCATATTTGACCAATCACGAAGTTGAACAAGAGTGGAAAGAGGGGACAACACCACATTTTGTAGGGAAGCTTTTGGAGAGCTCACCATACACTCTCACACTTCCAGGAGTACAGGAATCAGATAACGTTCGCAAACTTCCGGGGCATACCCTGTTGAGAATGTGTGGCTAAAAGCACTGACCGATCGACAGAATCCACCGCACCCTTGAAGTCAAGAAATACAAAGATTGTGAGTCGTCTGTGCACGTCGCGTTGCTCTAACACCTGACGGAGTGTGAAGATGTGGTCGATGCAGCCTTTACCCGGTCAAAATCCCGGTTGATTCACATGGGTTAAAGCTTCGGGTGTCGCCATACGACGACAAAGAATCGGTGACACCAGAAGCCCTATCACAACAGGAGTCAAATTAACACCTCTGTGGTTACTACTGCGAGTATTCCTTCTGAAAGTAGACACTATTATCGATTTACCTGCGACCACAACTTGCGGATGTTTTCAGCATTTTTCGCACGTTTTATTTCTTCGGGCTTTCAGCTCCATCCAGCTTCCCAGTCCGCACGAACACTCAGTTTTACCTGGTGTCGGATGATACGTCGTGTGAAGCAGTGGCTGCAGCCGGGGGGGGATCTATCCGTGGGCCTCAAGCAAAGACATGACCATATCAGATATCTAATATTTGGATGGGTTGTATCGAAAACAGAAGTTTCGGCTCTGACAAGCGCTTTGGATATCTTTTCCCAGTGGCTGTTTATATCCAACATCGGAAGGTTCTGAAAGTTTCGTTTGGGTTAGGGTCCACAAACGTCTCAAAAAGCCAAATGTGTGTGTTTGCGCAGACCTCAAAACCACAATGAAAAGCAGCAGCGCATAAGCGCATGGTCGGAGACCACGCTAGTGTTCCAAAAGGAGCGGCAGGCGGCGACCGATTCTCACCACCGGTAACTGACGGCGACGTGGTCTATTCTGATTCGGGATTGGTTCGTTGATGGGCACCATGTTGTCAAGCAATTTCCGCCGTTCCAGAAATGGGTACTGCAAAGGAATAGTCTGTGTTCGGCACACACCCGGAGCAGACGATCTCCGTTGTGCGTGCACCTCGTGTCCAATCCCAGACGACCACCCAATTCGGTCTCAGCAACGCTTGGTCTACCTATCTGAGCGTTTCCGTCACCACCAAGCAGACCAAGTCAGACTTCTAATCGTTGAAGAACATGGTATGAGAGACTCTGTGAGTGTCGCATGGACACCATCCAGTATAGTTCAATGAGTCATGGGGCGCACAAACCGTCACACCGCGGTAAGGTGCAGTCTCTTCGGGAAGGTTCACCGCCTGCAGCCAGTAACGCCTGAAGACAGTTAAAGACGTCACCTGCGGTGATGGCAGCACACTGTTCATAAAAAAAATGAACATGGTAGAGAGACTCTGTGAGTGTCCCATGGACACCATCCAGTATAGTTCAATGAGTCATGGGGCGCACAAACCGTCACACCGCGGTAAGGTGCAGTCTCTTCGGGAAGGTTCACCGCCTGCAGCCAGTAACGCCTGAAGACAGTTAAAGACGTCACCTGCGGTGATGGCAGCACACTGTTCATAAAAAAATTTTTTCATAGTAATCACAACTTTAGTATACTTGAAGAAAAATACACGTATCCAGCGTCGACGGTGGTAACCTAAACCCTTGTGGTTCCAGGTGTACAGCTATCAAATGTCACGTAGCGAAGTACAAGCGAAATACCATAGTTTGGAAGAGGCATACATACCTATGGGCTTGAGTGATGCCAAACTGACCGGAACTCGCAACTTGGTAACCGAGGCCCAGTAGCAGACAAAAGCCGAGGCTTGGCGTATAAAGAACTCGTTCAGCAACAACGAATCCAACGTAAAAGAACAGATTGCTTGCCGGAAGGAAAGGCAACACAAGCAAGCTGAGTGCCTAAAAAAGAGGGCGTCAAGAGAGATCGTTATTGCATCCTAGCAATAGAAGAAACTGTCGCAATTAGAACATGCAAAGATAAGCGAACACCTACTAGAGCCAATACCCGCGAACGCTTCATTTCAGTGCGTGGATCGAAGACCAGGAGGGCAGTAATGAAAAGCAAACCGAAGGCAACAATCGTAGACAGATTCCTTGGGTCTGTCCAACCATCAATCAAACGCAGGCTGCCGAGAGTCCAGTCAGCACACAGATCAGATGGATAAACAAGGAGCCACAAGTTGACCGGAATCAAATAGAGGTGGGTAAGACGACGAATTAGCGGAGGCGCGTGTGCCGCAGGATTGTCAAATCTAAATGAAACAACGGGGAATCAGACAACGGAAACAGAAGAGTGAGTTTGGAGACTATTGAGGGAAAGCATGAGTTTACGACAGGTAGGAAATAGAAGGACGGCAAATCGCTACACATTCAACGAGTCACAGCAGTGGATAACCAACTTTTACAGTAGGTGTCCTGCGATCCCACTTCGGTTCGCAAAAAACCAGGAGAAAAAGTGCATGGATCCATACATAAAGTGCGGCCCACCTATTGGTAACTCACATACTGGGTAGTTTTCTACGCTGGTTCCATAAAGAAATTTCCGGAAAACTGAAAAAGAATCTCTATGAGAGGACATCCTTATCTGGGATGGTATCACAAGGCATCACAGGGGAAGAATATCACTCAACAGCTTGCATAGTCGCAGTATACCAGTTCGATGATCCTCAGTGATCACAAATCTTCAACGACGAGACCATAATAAAAAAAACCGTGGGTTCGAAACTTGTCTTTCGGTTACTAGAGTGACATTTAACTTCTTTCAGATGCATATTCCATCTGTTTTATGTATAGCGAAAGTGACCTAACCCACGATGACTGCAGCAAATTAGTCAGTATAGTCGTTCATTGGGATGGCTCAAGTGGTTAGAGCGCGAATTTACCGACCAGAAGGTCCGTGGTTCGAACCCGACTCTGCCTCTCGACTTCCACTGTCTAGGCTTGGGCAATCTGGCAGTATCCCAGCCCTCGTGCTTCATTCGGGTGGCATGGCGGCTAGGCACCGAAAGGATGTTACAGCTGAACGGGTTTTTCATCTAAGCCTACACAGGAACCTATATAGCAACAAGTCATTTCGACAGTATGGACAAAGAACAACTTACTCTGTAAAATGAGGCAGCTGTGAACCCATAATGCGGATTCTGAACAACATTATACAGGCAGCACACAGGAGAAGGACGATCAGCCGTTGAACCGGTCGACTTGTAATCAATGCACGAATAGTCTCATAATCCGACACAATCATCCGTTTGATACAGCTGAAACGCGGAATTGGCCATGATGCGATCGCAAGTGCGGCCCTCGAACCATTGGTGGCGGATTTCTTTCGCAATCGAGCTAGGAAGGACTACATTGTGAGCCGACGAATTCCATGACTGTTCACAAATCAGTTACCTGATATGCCAGCGTAAATTCATATGCCAGCAGTATGCCAACTGTGGTGATGCACTGCTCCTTGCATAATGTACCAAGTGCCAACAGCCAACCAATCAGAAGAACACTGACCCAGTCTGTCATAGATGAAACAACAGAAAGCCATGTAAGATGACGGAAAAACGCTTGGATCGTCTCACTCCACAATAAAGCTATCAACTAAAGAACTATGAAACTAGACCACTGGCCGTGGGCCAACGTCAGAGTGATGAAGTCTCTCCCGTGTACCAATGAATGATAGGGGACTGATGACACTTGTCAATTCCAAGATCACGCGAATTTCAAACAAATTCAAGGGCATTTTGTAACGATTGTCAAGCACCAAGTACTTAGTAATGCGCCAGAACTTTTCGGGAAAACACAAAAGACAACCTAACCTCTAGAAGTTTCCCAGTGCTGACTGAAACAAAACACTTCCATTATTGTGAGTGCTGCACGATGCACCAAATCCGTTACAATCCTAACCGTTTAAATGACAACCTTAATACGGTAGAATAAACTGAATTCGTTTGAAAATACCATTTTGCGAGCAAAGTAAGGTGCACCAGTGGTCGCCCGATTCACGCTAGCTGGTGATGTAGCCAGATGAAGTGTTCGTTCTAGAAACCCTCTACTAGTCGAACAGCCACCTGTTCAGTCAAAAATGGCAATGAAAAATAGCGGAGTAGTTTCTTTACCCTATCTTCCATAACTCCTACAGGTAAACAGTTTGCCTCTGTTGCTATCATCCCTGTCTAAGCTTGGGAAACCCGGCAGTATCCCAGCCCTCGTGCTTCCTTCGGGTAGCATGGCAGCTAGGCAGGCAGCTAAACGGCATCCCATGGAAGGGAAGTTAAATTGTTCTGGTTGTATGAACGTCGGTTGTCCTGTTCAATGAGGTGGGTACTTCGGTTGCAAACTCTTGGTCATTAATCGAGGTGACGTAATCGGCTGCAGTAAGTTATCAGTAGCTACCGTCAAGCCATCGTTAAGCTAGATATATACTGCAGTACGCTTACAACCACACTGTCCAGCTAGGCGAGTGGAATAACTAGCTTTTGATTCCTCCGCCAAGTAACCAATGCTCAATGGGAAGTCAAGGAACCGAACTAGGGGTTTCTGGGGAGATGCTTCCTAATCCTCTCTGACACTAGATGTTTTCCACACTAATGAAACAATTAAGAGAGCTGAAGGATGGGAAGTTACTTTCGCAAAAACGCACATCAATTTTTTGCCCCAGCTGTGAGAAATGGTCCAGCATGATTAGGATACGAGGACTTTATTTATGACTTGTTAGGGTTCACAGCTCCACGATCAATTATTGTTTTCCAAAACCTTCAAGCTGCGCTATGGCAACAATAACTACACATTGAGTGTGGTTTGTATATCGTAAAAGGTTGTCTCGCATTCGGCCTCGATGGACGGACATAAAGACACGTGGATGAGATATTTTCACTACTCGGCGGTATTAGTAGCTCATACTGCAGTAAAAGTGGAATGGACGAAAAATCCTGCCACCAAACAAATTTGGTTGACAGCGGACTGCTACACCGGGAATATCCATGAGATTGAGAGTGGTAGAAGACTGATACTATCACAGCTTACTGGCACCACAAATCAGCTACCTTTTCGACAACTTAGTGAAATGCGCGAGTACTGGCAACGGTCGACACAGAACAATGAACATAGCAGGGTTGTTCATTTAGGTGAGTAAACGTCTAAGACACGAGCTTGTAGATGAGTATCTGGGAATCACTTTTTGTTTCAGTTTTCGTCCTTGTGAAACAGAGCGTCCACCTACACATCCCGACAGGGGGACATTGAGACAATGCTGCCATAAACTGCTAAGGGGTGGTCAGCAAGCTTGTTACCGCTACCACTGTGTATAACGCGAATGAGCGGGTTCGTGGATTTAAGACTTGAATCAAGCGGAAGATCAACAGAAATTACTTAAATGATGGGTACCAGATAGATGCAAATTCAAGGCTGATTCACGAATAGTGCATTCGTAAGGATGTGAAATAATAGGGCTAAGCGCAGTAGGAAATTCATTAAACAGAGGACTGTTTTAAACAGCATTTGAACAGTCAAACTGCGTCAGTGGATGGTAATTATTATAGAAACCCACCAAAAGTGGATTTCCACTTACGGATTTCAAAATAAATGAATATATGGAGGACTCACTAAAGACGGAACAGTGTTCTACTTCACAAATAAAAGCCAGTCAAAGCACCCGGACATGGCTAGCGTATAATTAAGCCGCTGTGAAAAATGAGATACGTCCTTAAAACTGCCCCTGTCAAGAAAGTATTACGCTGTCCCCAACATACACATAAGGAGATTTTAGCCATCATACAAGGGAATTTTAGGATCAATTTAACGACTGAATCGCGTAACATTACTTCGTAACAGAGAAACTATGTCCGATCGATAAAAAATAAACACCTCGCACACTCAGGCCGCGCAGTGTGTCATGTGCAACTTGGGTAACAGGGAAAAATGTTACGTGGACCTGTCTTATCACTACACGAGACTTGGCGACAGCCAGTAGGAAAAGCATCACGTGCTTACGGAAAATCCCACTCGAAGAGCGAACACATTCATAATACATCAGGATGACCAATGCTATAAGGGCAGAAAGTAGCTCCGCTCTTCCAACGACCCCAGTAACCTGGAAGTAAGAAGACATCATAATTCATAAAAGCGCTTACGGCTTCCGTGTGCACCGGATGCACAGCAAAATATAGACTGCTGACGAGCGCTGCATCCTGTTCAAGAAATTTCGTACAAAGCCTAAGCAGCTGCCTTACGGAATAAATCATTACCTGTAGAAGGCTATGCAAACAGCTGAATGTAATGCAACATTGACAGCATGATATCCAACAGGATGAAGCTGGTGCAGCAAATAGTTGAATCGAAAAGTCAGAACAGTCACTGGTCTGTAGGATTTGTGGCTTCTTTCCTTTTTGAAAAGATTCCATTATAATGAAACACAACTCTTACCTCCTTCATTGGGGTACCCCAGAAGTCATTGTAAAACAGATCGGTCCAATTGGTTGACGGTCGTAAATCAGGATTGTCCTTGATGGCGGATGCATCGTCGAATACAAACCCACAAAACAAAGCATTCCAATAGACGACAAAAGTGACAAGAGCAAGAAAGCTAGCTTCCCAATTGACCATCATTGTCCGAATGGCTATCTACAATCCAACTGCTTCGCAGATTCCGCAAAAACCATCGTCTTCAGAGAAGATGCTGAAAGTATTATAACATACACGTACATCAGGAATTCCGCTTCAATTCCGTTTACCAGCTATAAACCATGTAGCAAGAGCACGTTGTTTCCAGTTGTTACAGCTTCGGTCACCCGAAAGTTGGGGAGGTAGAAATATGGCCAAGTAATGGAGGCGATAGTATAATCAGTTTGCTCCCGTTGGCTTTCTGAAAAAAAAAACAGCAAGTCGGATAGCTGCGCATTGTGAGCACTAACACTGATGCAGGGGCGCTACTGACTGCGTGACTGAGCTATGTCACCACTGTCATGACTCATTGATGAGTTGAGCCCTGAAGACCTCATGCAGGGAGGTAGTAATGAAAAACTGGCTACAGCTTTCACGCCTCGTTTCCAAGTCATGGAAGGTTTACTTCTGTCGCTTCCATGCAGCATACGGCGACGCGAAAAGAGCTCTGTGAGATGGACGGTCCTCTGACATGCGAAGTAAATGTCCAATTGAGAACTCTGGGTATAGGTGTCTTTACTTAACCGGAACTTCCGGTGTAGTGTCTTGACCAACGTTACACAGCTTGCTCGATGGAAAAGAAGAGCTTGATGCAGAGTAATCCGAAGGAGTCAGGGAGGTCCATCTGATAAAAGTGCCCAACACTTCATATCACGCCGATTTCAACTATGGAGTATCATTGTTCAGAAAACCGGTGCAGAGGGGGACAGAACGTGCCATCTGTGGAGAATCCCCCTCATGCTACATGTGTCAATTTTCCTGTGCGCGACTCTGGACAAAGAGAAGAAGTACAAACCGTGCGTAGGGTACGGAGGCTCACTCTTTTCTTTGGTGATCAAACAGTAGGTCCTACATGCTGGGTCGAACCGTTTTGCAGCTTGGTGACGAACATACCAGGGAAGAACTTCAACCCCTCGGGCGTTCAAACGATGTAAACTATTAGGAAAAACAATTCCACTTGCCAATACAAATCGTCCCATCCAACCCACGATGAGATTAACGAATCCACCTATACAGCACCAAAAACTCGCCCTGGTTGCTCCATGGTGTTAAAACCTGGAGGCATATGCCAATTAACCGGACCACTCCACTCCGGTTATTTCGTCGCCGAAGTGCAAGTAGTCTAAACTATCAAGATCATTCACTGTTACCCTTTTTAACACAAATTATTTACCTGAACTGGCAAATGCAGGCCACAGGATGCGAGAATAACAGCAACAGTCACCAATGATAACCTACGAAGAAGGGCGAGTGTCAACCAGGCTCTCTTAAAACCAACCTACCACAAATCAGGGTCCCACGACGAAGAGGTTTTCTCAGGTCCACTGAAGACAAGAAACTGGTATTCCAGGCAGTATACAACCCAGCGGGTGTACCAGAATCTACACTAACGACCATAGGAGCAATCATTTAGCGGAGTAGTGCGGGTTTTTCAGCAGCTATCGTTTAAGGCAACAGACAGGAAGTATTCACCTACTTTCAAAGTCTAAACGCCTCGGTTAACCACAGGCATGACTATTGTTGGTGAACTATCCTCCTTATGATGTACTAGCTCCGAAACTAGTCCAACAGTCAGTACCCACCAGTGACATCTTCGAAAAACCACACAGTCAGAAGCCTGCACTGTCCCCTAACGAAATAACAGGCCACGGAGGGGCTGTCTTTTCTGGATTAAGGGTTTCGCAGGTTGTTCTATGAGTACATCAAAATGACACCTCATAGGAATATTATAAACCTCCCACAATGAGTGATTAAAATACCAGATGATACCCGAGTGCAGCGAGATACCCGTACAAGAGAAGCCAACTGGCCGAACCGCCCAATTAAATGCAACCAACCTGCACTGCTTAGAGCCACACCTTCCAAATGTTTCTATTTCCACCCGAAAACTTTTTTCAGCTACCACCTCGAATTTCAAGGATACAGACTACAACGCTGCAAGTTCATGGTTGATGTTGCTAAAATATAGGTCCTTTTCGACATCACCGAAAAGCAAATCTCCTTCCCGTGCACCCATCTAACTGAGTACAGGAAAACCTCGGGGTGGCTGCTTCCTCCCTCACATGCACATAAATTCATTCCGACCTAATATGGGATGAGGTCCAGGTCCGCGGGAATAAGGAAGATCGACTGTTCGGAAGCAACACCATGTGAGAGATGTCCGAAACCAAAGCGAAGTAAACGGGAAGGCAAGCAGCAACGGGTCGGAAGGGAACAACCAGCCGATACATGACATCATTGCCCATTAAGGTTTGGTGGAACGCCAAAGCCAAGCGTTCAAAGTCAAATAACACAGATGAAAGAGACAAGCAGCATGGGGGGGGCACTACTGACCTCCCGTCCTAGAAGGCTGATAGACGGCGCCTTTGGTGAGAAAACACAAGTGCATGCAGTAAGAATGGAATTATGCACCAACGTCAACTTAGAAAGGCACAACAAACTGAGGTGCCGCCACTCCATGAATATTATTAGTATTACTAACGTCTTAATTGACTGGTTGATGTTTTTGGTTTACTACATCGGTCAGGATGTCCATACTAGACTGCATAGATGAATAAACGACAAAAAGTTGTTGAGCAGGTGCCGAAAAGCTCAATCGGAAACTACTTCGGCTGCGCAGCTGAAGTGGAGGGACCGCCATTTTCAATTTCTATCCTCTGTGAATGCATACCATGAAGAAGACTGATAGAAAAAAGGAGAGCACCACCAGCCAGATGTATGAATCCAGGTGTTCTTGGACAAATACCGTTCACCAAACCAACATTCAAAGTTACGAAAAATGAATTTATGGGTTGACCACCTCCAGAGCCTGGTCAGAGGCGACAAGTGCTGTGAAGTAACAGTCCAAGGCAGTATTGGTGTTGGTTTGCGTAAGACACCGCATGATGAGCATATGGGAGGGCGAAGTACCGAGTTGAAAAAAGCGTGAAAAAAGTGATCATAAAGATGCTAATAGATTTCTAATGCAAATTCACCAGAATACATTCAAGCACTTAACGAATAACAGATTACATGTCCAGTACACACGGGTGTGTACAGCAACATAAGGTAATAGGGTGAAAAGGGCATGACGCTGTCAGACGTCCTGGTATGTCGGTATTGTTTTCTAGGAGGAAGCTGGTGACGTCCTTTTTCATGATGCAAAACCGCCTCCGCGGTTGAATCGAGAATATAACCATGAGATTTGTAAGGTGGGTATTGTGTTGCTAGTTATCTGGGTGGCGCTAGGTGCTATAGTAATACAGAACGGGATACAGTAAAAGAATATAATAAATCGTTCGGCTGTAACACCATTCCGGTGCCTAGCTGCCATGCCATCCGAAAGAAGAACGAGGACTGGGATACTGCCAGGTTGCCCAAGCCTAGACAAGGAAATCGAGAGGTAGAGGTCGGGTTCGAACCATGGACCTTCTGGTCAGCAAATTCCGCTCTAACCACTTGAGCCATCTCGAAGAGCAAACACATTCATAATACGTCAGGATGACCAATGTTATAAGGGCAGAAAGTAGCTGCGCTCTTCCAACGACCCCCGTAACTTGGAAGTAAGAAGACACCATAATTCATAAAAGTGCTTACGGCTTCGCTGAAGATTGCTGCTTTCGCAATACGTCTACCTAGTCTTTAAGCCACGGCAATTTCCGCCGCACTGTACGTAAGCCGTCAGGTTCACAGGGCAGGTCAGAAAAACGTGTCGTTAGTCGAACACATACCAAACTTATTCAATGCAGATGCATCTGTTGCTCTTAAATTTCGTTTTGTCAAAGTTATCAGGTATCAGCACCCGAGATGTCCGTACATTATCTGTCGCAGTTGTTCACCCAAACCTATAGATGTCATACTCTCTCAATAACGAAGTAAAGTACACGCTGTGCACCATTACCATATAAAAATTGCGCAAGTGGATTCAACTTAATCAGTAACGGTAGGCCAGATAGGCAGAAGATCAAGGATAACGAACAAACGATATTTGATTCACTCGAGTCAAGTCAAAAAGGGACATTCACATGGAAAATATACATGGATTGCAAAGAACCAGAATCTCCGTACAAAAGACTGATAAGGCGCAAAAGAACCAGGGAACAGGATCAGGAACAGGCATCTTTGATTTAGATAGAAATGTCATTCAGGCTCTGGTTTGACTGCATCAAAGGCTGGACCAAGAACGAATTCATTCGGATCATCGGTAAATTCTGAGAGCATGGGTACAGTTGCAGATGAATCGGGAGATTCCGGTGAATTTGGGCATGTTGAAGATACGTCAAGTTTTTCTCTGTGATGCCTGCGATGGGCTACAAGAGCCTGTTTATTAAAATACATTCTTTCGCAACCAGGAAACCCACATGCGATTAAACATTCAGGATGAGATGCTTGTACGTGAAGTTTTAACGAATGTCGAAAGAGCAAACACATTCATAATACGTCAGGATGACCAATGTTATAAGGGCAGAAAGTAGCTGCGCTCTTCCAACGACCCCCGTAACCTGGAAGTAAGAAGACACCATAATTCATAAAAGTGCTTACGGCTTCGCTGAAGATTGCTGCTTTCGCAATACGTCTACCTAGTCTTTAAGCCACGGCAATTTCCGCCGCACTGTACGTAAGCCGTCAGGTTCACAGGGCAGGTCAGAAAAACGTGTCGTTAGTCGAACACATACCAAACTTATTCAATGCAGATGCATCTGTTGCTCTTAAATTTCGTTTTGTCAAAGTTATCAGGTATCAGCACCCGAGATGTCCGTACATTATCTGTCGCAGTTGTTCACCCAAACCTATAGATGTCATACTCTCTCAATAACGAAGTAAAGTACACGTTGTGCACCATTACCATATAAAAATTGCGCAAGTGGATTCAAATTAATCAGTAACGGTAGGCCAGATAGGCAGAAGATCAAGGATAACGAACAAACGATATTTGATTCACTCGAGTCAAGTCAAAAAGGGACATTCACATGGAAAATATACATGGATTGCAAAGAACCAGAATCTCCGTACAAAAGACTGATAAGGCGCAAAAGAACCAGGGAACAGGATCAGGAACAGGCATCTTTGATTTAGATAGAAATGTCATTCAGGCTCTGGTTTGACTGCATCAAAGGCTGGACCAAGAACGAATTCATTCGGATCATCGGTAAATTCTGAGAGCATGGGTACAGTTGCAGATGAATCGGGAACTTGGAAGAAGACACCATAATTCATAAAAGTGCTTACGGCTTCGCTGAAGATTGCTGCTTTCGCAATACGTCTACCTAGTCTTTAAGCCACGGCAATTTCCGCCGCACTGTACGTAAGCCGTCAGGTTCACAGGGCAGGTCAGAAAAACGTGTCGTTAGTCGAACACATACCAAACTTATTCAATGCAGATGCATCTGTTGCTCTTAAATTTCGTTTTGTCAAAGTTATCAGGTATCAGCACCCGAGATGTCCGTACATTATCTGTCGCAGTTGTTCACCCAAACCTATAGATGTCATACTCTCTCAATAACGAAGTAAAGTACACGTTGTGCACCATTACCATATAAAAATTGCGCAAGTGGATTCAAATTAATCAGTAACGGTAGGCCAGATAGGCAGAAGATCAAGGATAACGAACAAACGATATTTGATTCACTCGAGTCAAGTCAAAAAGGGACATTCACATGGAAAATATACATGGATTGCAAAGAACCAGAATCTCCGTACAAAAGACTGATAAGGCGCAAAAGAACCAGGGAACAGGATCAGGAACAGGCATCTTTGATTTAGATAGAAATGTCATTCAGGCTCTGGTTTGACTGCATCAAAGGCTGGACCAAGAACGAATTCATTCGGATCATCGGTAAATTCTGAGAGCATGGGTACAGTTGCAGATGAATCGGGAGATTCCGGTGAATTTGGGCATGTTGAAGATACGTCAAGTTTTTCTCTGTGATGCCTGCGATGGGCTACAAGAGCCTGTTTATTAAAATACATTCTTTCGCAACCAGGAAACCCACATGCGATTAAACATTCAGGATGAGATGCTTGTACGTGAAGTTTTAACGAATGTCGATCGGCGAAAGACTGATGGCAGTTAGGAATGCTGCACTGAAAGCAAGAATCCAACTTCGACATTCCAGTAGTTCTGTTGATGTGCACTTTGAGATGGTTGCGATATTCGGTGTTAGTGGCACATCCTTTACCGCATCCCGGATATTCACAAAAGAAGGGATACTCTCCTGTGTGCTTGTAGGAGTGCACTCGAAGTGAACGCTCCGAAAGTAGAACGCTGGAACAGCCAGGATGCAGACAGGGATAGCTCGGTCGTTCATGTTTTTTTAAATGAACTAAAGCGTGCTCCTTAAGATGTATACTTTGCCGAAAACTCAATCCACAACCTGGGTAGGTGCAAACATGGGGTCGATGGTCTCTATGTCCTCTCAAGTGATCGCGCAAAGAAGAGCGTTGCATGTACACTTTGAAGCAGCCGGGCTGGTTGCAGTAGTAGCGAGGACGGTCGCGCGGGTCTAAGTGCAGCTCCCGGTGATTATTGAGGTTCGCCGGGTTCCGACATCGAAAGCTACAGCCGGCGAACCCACATTCAAAGGGTTGTTCGCCGGTATGCTGCAGCATATGTTGCTTTAAACTTTGAGGTGTTGACAGAACACGACCGCATCCTGGAAACGAGCAAGAACGTGGTTTCTGAGGTCGTCCTGACCGTCCAGTTGCAGCAAGCTTCTGTGTGACCATCTGATTAGAACTATCCCTAGTGATTTTGTCTAACACGACGGTTCGAGGACGCCGAAGATTACTCCGGACTTCGTTTTGCTTCGCTGACGGTTTCTCAATTTTCATTGCAAAGTCAATGAACTCTTTCAGTGACATCGTTCCAGATGAGTCGAAATCTTGTGTTTCCATTATGAAGCTCTCGATTAGTAAGGGCAATGTATTAAACAGCTCACTCCTCACATGAGAAGAGACCTCCGGGCTGCGAAAACATCAATCTGTAAGTTGACTCCGTATGAAGGTAAACATTGGAAAAGCCTCACGGCAGGCTGCAAGGAGGAAAATACGAATGAAACACGGCTGTAGAATACCAGATAAGCGGAGTGGCAGAGAGCGTGCGAGTAGATGATTGTTTGGGCTTAACACCGAAATCACCCCAAAACTCTGTGCGACTGTTGGCACTTGTGTTCAAAATTCTATATCTGTATGTACGAGGAATTTTACGTGCTACACACACATAGCTGACAGAACATCAAGACATTATTGATGCACTGAAAATCCAACTGAGGATTAAGGATCCAGGCAGCACAGGTTGACGCATACTGTTCTGCCACCGCTGTCAGGAACTACCTTTATACCCTTCGAAAGTAGCCTATCAATTTCAACTCAATTAGCAATAGATCATTTGAATCTGTGATTAAGTATTTCCATCATTCACAATTATCGGATAAAGTGAGGAAAGTTGACCCCGTCTTCCTGACCTGTTTATATAATTCACAGAAGTCATACCTTATTCGAAAAAATATTGACATGCATCCGTTCAACGAATATGTATGGTAAAATATGCCTCAGATGTTCTCTCCATTGGTATTTGCCCACGACTGACGTCCTAGACATTGGTTGATAATTTCAGATATCAATATCTGTGAGGTCTATTGGTGATTAGCTTATGAGTATACATTTCAACATGCAACTCGTCGATACTGAAACACTGAAATTGCCCTGCGCTTTACTCATTACGTTTCTCAGCACCAGCCACGTGCGCGAAACCGGAAAAGCAAAGTATGAAAATGGGTTTTGATATATTCGCGTTGTTTAGAAATAGGATGTGAAGGACGTGAAAATGAGCATCTGGCTCAGAATCAATCGTAGCAATCGTAGTTGAGGAAGGTACGAACACTCGCTTGGAATGACTTAAGTTATCTGTAAGAAGTAGTAAAGAAGAGCATGGAGGTCTCTGATCAGTTGAACAGTGTTTCGGACCGATTAGGAGGTCATCTTTCCAGAAGGATATCGTACCTATATAATACAAATGCGTCTGGTGGTAAGCTTGTCTGTGCTCGACATTTAAGCAGGGCACTCAAAAACGGTTGGTCGTCACGTGAGACACAAGTATGAGGTGGGGAGAAAGTGAATCGGCCTGCTTAGGGAGTGCTGAGATTCCAGCAACCTTATGTAATATGTTAAAGACCTTACTTATAGTCTTAGTGACATCAGTATGCCGTCTGCCAGGGTAAAGAGCTAAGCTGCCATCTCATCAGAGACTGGACACCCTAGGTGATGTGCCAAACGCAAAACAAGCGGTGCTGTTTTATTCGTTCAATCACGTCCACCACCTAAACTTTGATTTTCTGGTTTACTCCTCTGTATTTTATCGTTCTTTCATGTCTTGGCTTTATCGGTGATCAGGGGCTGAGGGGACGAAGGACTAATGTTCGACTCATGGCATCAGTAAACGGTTCAGAGTATAGGTAAACAACTTATTGCCAACAGGCTTTCAAAGCTTGGAAGATTCTTATTAGAAGCAGGGTACTAAAGTTTCCAGACTTCTCGAAACTACGTCAAGTAAACACCGGACAATCGGTGGCCAGTGCACCTCCGTCTTATATTCAGGTGAGCAAAACTACCGTGCAACGAGGAACAAGGCACTAGCTACCTTTTGGGATGTAGAAACGTTCAAACCAGGAATCCGGGGACTACTTTCTATATGGACTAATCGTTATCTGTTAACACACCTGTTCTCCATGAAAGACTTTCAAAGACTCTCATCCAGATGGCAATTATTTTTACAGGGATTTGCTTTGCCCTTGAAGCACACTCCAGGAGAATGTGGTCCGACAGCAGACGCAATACCCAGCAGAATCATGCGACAGACGCCCAATGCTGTCTCGAGTGGAACCGGACGATCTTCGGAAGTGTAACTCAGTTTTCCTTAAGAATAGAAATAGTTTATTTGCAACACCCTTTGGGGAACGGCTGTTATGTCACCCGAGAGAAACATGAGGGCTGAAGTACTCTCAGACTGCCCACGCCATGACAGAAGTTGAGATGATGGGGTTGGGTTTAAACCATAGACCTTCGTATCAGTGAGTTCGCGTCACATCCGCTGAGCTACCTCGCGCTTTCCATAAAGTCACACGACCAGGCCAGGGTTAAATGTTCCCGTGATACGACCTGTACCTCCGTCAACCGACTTTGAAAAAGGGACACCACTGGAAAAATTTTCTACTGCGACAATCATAGTGGGGCGTGCGCACTGGGGAAGGACCCTCCGAAAAGTAAAAGAAATTGAAGTACATCCGGAATGATCCTAATGGCTGGGATACACAGAGATCGGGCAATATATGCCGGCTGTGGATCAGCAAGCTACAACACAAACAGATTCTAGTGGTGACAAAAGGAGGGTCAAAAATCGGAAGCGATCGTGCAGCAGGAAACGTTACCCTCAGATAATCAATGGTTATATCTGACGAGCACATGCTTCTTCTCCTGAAAAGCTCACACCCATGTGTCGACCCAATGGGTTACACAGACTAATGGTGGGTGAAACCACGAAGGCCCGTTTTCAGACGGATCACCCGAAAGACTTTCGTACATGACTGCCACATCCCTTTGCATACCAAACTTCATCATTATGCATGCTCCTAAATTGGAGGGCCAGGTCGTTGTCAACCTCTTTGCTGCCACAATAAGCACACAACAGTCGTCTTACACAAACTTGTTCCAGCCGGGTGACTTGGTTTGTAATTCAATTACTACGAAAACACGAGGAAAATGGCGAAAATTCCAGCAACAAAACTCCAGAGTCGGTTGCTGTCCGGGTAGACCGTCTTGCTCCTAACGAACGTAATCTCGGTTATTAACAACCCGCAATTCAATGAGTCTTGAGAGCGGAAACCACTGAAATAGGTCAAAGTCCCAACAACCAATAAAGCTATCTAGCACGTGATTGGCTAGGACGAAACAAATAGGTTAAAGTCCCAACAACCAATCTATCTAGCACGTGATTGGCTAGGACGAAATTCTGACTGGCGGTTGAGATCCAGCATCCACTGTTCAGTCCCATTAATTCAAAAGTTTTAAAGTCTTCCTGAGTGTCCTGCACATCCAGTGGAACAGTAGCTCCAGTGTAGCGTGGTGGTAAACTCAATACAACAGTGAGGACAAGTGGCTGAATCATCCGAGGCCCTCGATATTCAATCGTGACCAATGAACCGCTAGTTTGTCACCTCCGAGAGGACCATCACGGATTCACGGATTGATACACGGGATCGAGGCTTTTGCCAAAGTTTCCCGGGTCGGTTTTGTTCTTGTCGGTCAGTGGCTGTCGTTCACCTGAAATTCACAAGTGAAACAAGGGTATAGCACTGCTCTTTATGTACTCAGCGTGGGGCACTATGACTGCCAGCGCGAGGATTCGCACACATAAATATCTAATAGTGCCTTGGACTGGGTTCTAGAAGGAGCGTGGACGACCGTGGAAGAATGTCATTTCACGTAGCCACTACCCGGAATGATAAAAAATTTTGTCTAATGAATGTGTGCTCTGTGCTTGAAAATTTTCTCACTATGTCCCCGCCGTGTGTTTTCAGATCAACAGTGAAAAACCTGTTTGCCAAGCTCTGTTCAAAAAGAGAACATGTAAGAATTAGGTCTACTCTTAGTTATAATCTGCTTGGACAAGGCTTGGCCAACAGTTTTTCACCAGTTACCCAGCAAACGCACGGCGATAATATGGTAATAAAATTTTCGAACTCAAAGTGCACATTTTCATTGGGCAGCATTTTTTCTCATAGAGGTTAGCGACTTCGTAGAATAACCTTCCTCCAACGGTTCCCCGCGCTCCTTCTAGAACCCAGCTCAAAGCATAAGTAGACACTTACTTATGCGAGTCCTCGCGCTTGCAAGCAGACTACCCGCGCTTAGGACTTAAAGAGTAGCGCTACAAACTTTACTGGCTTGTGTCTTTCAGGTGAACGACAGCCGCTGCAAGACAAAAAACCTACCGTGGAACTTGGGCGAAAGTCTCGATCCTGTGCATGAATCCGTGAAACAAGGGGTAATAGGACGTTGGAACCCGACGCCAGTTGTTGAATGTGTGAGCCATTTTTTCAATCTGAGGCTATCCAATAGATGAGCGAAACTTTGTTTATTCAGGAGTCAGTGCTGTCCAATCAGCTGGCAGGTAGCTGGGCGCAGAAGTTATCAAGCTTTTAGTGTAATGAGGCAACTTCTTTCTGCAAGCGTTTTGGAAACATGCGCGAAAGCAGAGTCGCATGATATAATGCCTATTCCCGTGCCAGAAAGGACTGCGAAGTTAGAATCAGGACACCAGCGCGTCTCCGCATTGACATCTCAGAAGCAGCTGGCTTATGATAATTCCGACATGTTTTGTAATCTTCATTGATGACGCCCGGCTGGAGCCGGGCAGAAAAAAGAGGCTTGGCCGGAGCCCCGGCATGCTGAACCCAAACGGTCTGGTATACTTGACGATGGAGATGGCACAGCACGGCACAATGTCATGAAATAATCTGAGGATGAGTAGACACCAAATAATTGGCCTGACCGAAATGAGCAACGAGCAGGACGTTTGGAGTTTCCGGCACAGCGGCCGCAGTTTTATCGCCCAAATGAACGGAAGATACAAAAACTGGCCATTAGGAAACAGTGAGTATCTGGGTAGTTGGGCTACTGTGGAGGATGTAGAAACGTCCTATCGCTGTGTTGGAGGAGTGAGGAAATATCGTAGTAGAAGCGGAATCCTGTTAAAAATCGAATATAAAGTCTGTTGTCAGCGCCCATTAGAATAAGGAAGATTTTGGCATTACAACCGACAGCATAAAACAAGAAGAGATGTATTTTGGATAGATATATATGTCGATTTACAGCCTGTGGGACAGTAACGAAGCAAAAAACGTCCCATAGTTTTTGAACATTTCACCTCGCGGCTG